CCTTTCGAGCCAGAGTCGCGTGTCAATTGCGCACTAGCGGTCACGAGCACACCGCGGCTGCTGCTCGTGGGTTCTAGCCATCTAGTTTAGCTCCATTCCACGCCGCGTAAACATATGGGTGCCCTAACATACCTGCCTTATACAGGTGAAATAGGGCTTCCAGGATATGCTCTTGTTTGATTCTCATGCACGAGGTGTTAATTCCAAAGGACAGCAATCCTGAAAGGGGAACTAGAGTCAGTGACCAGCAGAAATTAAAATCCTAACTTGCACAGTTCATGGCGACTGCACTAGATATGTGGGCTTTAAAACCTCAGTCTCGTAGTCGCCTTTTCCTACTGTTAAACTGTCATTCACTGCCTGTATTTACCACTTTTGCGTGGGCTCTTTGAACATGGAAATTAAGGTCCTCGTAGCTAGTGCAATCGTTGCCACGGACTGCGCAAGTTATGATTTTACCTTTACCTCCGTGAAAAAAAAAAATCTATACACTTAGCAAGGATTCGAATCTGGGTCTCCTGCATTTGAACCTAGCGCTCTTAACAGTTTGGCCAGACACTCATTAATCCACTTGTTCAGCACTGTCTAAAATATGGCAAAAACAGGTAACGCAGACACTTTATTACAATACTAGCTGTACCCGGCTTATTACATTATCTATATATATATTTAGTTTTAGTTTTTTATCTTCAACTCTGTCAGGAAAAGACATGAAAAATAATGAACGCGTCAGTAGTAGTTACATCAGGGGAATGGTATGCCGTTTTTTTAATAAGGGAAAGTTGGAGGAGAAGAGAGGCAGAGAGATCATAAAAGAACATGCTGGACAGTTTGTTCTCATGTTATGGAACAACATCGGTATCATAAATTATTAACAGTACACAAGACAGAAAGCTGTGGACATCTGTGATTACCGACGCCGCACGACTCGGACTATAAGAAGAAGACCAATACGGACAAGAAGCTGTACATCTTTACAGAACTGACCTTGGCTTTCAGGTCGACCTTATATGGTAAAGTCCTGAAAAGTAAAGGTGGTTGGTGTAAGGCTGTCCTCATCACACACCGACTGGTCTACAGAATTTATGTCTAGCCCTATATGCCCAATACGCATGAAAGGTTGGAAGAGGGTCCTTTACCTTACAAAGCGTCATCTTTCATATGACAAAGGTACTTTATCCACAAAGCATGATATGGTCATACATTGAAATGCATAGGATGAATATTAAGTAAAAATATACAAAAAAACATGGAAGGGCAAATGCATTCCTTTAAACACACACCCACGCAAACACACACACACACACACACACACACACACAAACACACACACAAACTCACATAAATCACACACACACACACACACACACACACACACACAGAGAGAGAGAGAGAGAGAGAGAGAGAGAGAGAGAGAGAGAGAGAGAGGTAGAGATTTTGTCAGAGGGCTAGAGACAGACAATGAGAGAAAGTGAGAGAGCGAGAAATGGTACTATATATATATATATATATATTCAGATTTGTGGAAAGTGGGTAAGTGATATTGAGGACGATAATGCGAGATCTTTCTTGACAACACTGTGTTTTGGCGTGGAGGAATGGCTGAATATGCTAGCCTGTGAGTCACAACGTCTTGGCTTGAAAGCCTCTTCAAGCTGAATTTAAAAAAAAAAAAAACAGTTGCCTTGGTACCAAGTCAAAACAGTTCATAATGATATCAGATGAGGCTTTTTTCTATATTTGAAAAAAAAAAAATGCCGATACTCAACACAAGGTGTAAAATAAAAGGTGCATAGTATATGTTTGTATGTGTGTGTGCATATAAAACAATGTCAAAAGTGCACACTGGCTTCCAGGTCATCACTACTTTGTGACTGTGACCATTGACCAAAACATGCCCTCCATAGAAGGGGTTTTGAGTGTTCAACTCAGAGGAACCATGGGGAGACAACTCACCTGGAGACCCATCAAAGAGTAAGTCCAACCACTCAACTATTATAATGTGTCTCCCTTCAGTGTATGTTAAATAATTGACTTATAACATTAATTGGTAGTAGAAAAGGGGTCTGTTCTGTTCAGAGACCACATCACGTGTGATTTAAGGACATCTCATATTGTAGGGGGATTAGGGTTAGGATTAGTGATAAATTAATGGCGACTACTACTAACCCTAATCCCCTTATAATACGGGATGTCCCAAAATCATACGTAATGTGGTCGTTAAACAGAAAAGAACCCCGAAAAGCTAGTTACATATCCCTTACAAGACTTTGCACAATGAATCCCCAGCATTTGCTGTCTGCTCTTGGGTTGACCAGGTAATTTTACATTTAGTAGTTTAACATTGCATACTGAACAATCTGCTTTCTATACATCTGTCGGAATCATCCGCTGCCAAATCACCCGCAGCCAAAATCGAACAGGTACCCAGGAATTAAAAAAATGGACACCCAACGCCTAAGTCAAAAACACGTTGGTAGACCTTGCCTAAAATAATATCGGGCAGTACCATGTGAAAGTAAAAGCGGATTGTGTGAAGATGATTACATCAATCACCAAGTTTCCTTTGGTCTCTATACATATGAGAAATCATAGGCCCAATCAAGAATGAATCAGCCAATCAAGAACTGACATCACTGCACATGGGACATTCCCACACGTGCTCCGTCTCCTTTTTCAACAGCCAAAGAAGATTCGACATGCTAATAGTACTGGTTGCAACCTGATTAAAAGTCCGTCTCTGCTTTCCCTCAGTGTTAAATAACTTCCAGAACTTCTACACAACCCCCTTTGAATTAGTCTTTCAATGTATAGATTCCCTATCTGTTCTTTTGCACTGTCCATTTGATCACAAAGAGCCTTACCACATCCGCTTGATCACAAAGTAGCGCGCTGCCCAGAGGAGTAGCAGCAGCAAATCTATCAGGCTGCTCGTTTTCTTGCACACCTAAATATCCTAGACAGAAAAATCCATGAAATGCTCTTGATCTAAATATTATCAAGTGCAAGCAACTCTGCGCGATCCCAGGTGTGGAAATCTGGGGATAATGCCCCTTCACAGCTTGCTCTCCCCCCCCCCCCCAACACCGTATATCAGTTCGACGTCAAACACAATTCTATACCATGACAAACGGCTGTCAAGAATCTTTTCACTTAGTCTTTCTCTTCTTCTTTTAAGCGTTCACCAGCTGTAAACTCCAGCAGCGGAAAGTTCTGATTGTTCGTCCACTTCTGGACTTTGGTTTTGTTCCAGAACATGAGTTTTACGTGCACATCCGTTTTACAGATAAGGCTTATTTATAGCAGACCGCCAGTTCCTCGCCTCTCGGACAGATGCACTCCTGATTCGAAGAAAACCCAGTTAATTAGTCAACTGATTTTTGGGGAGGCGCGGGTAGGGGAGCAGTGGGTGTATCCCCTCCAATAAGGTACCAAAACCCATACAGGGCTTCTCGTGTTGTCTTCCATTATATCTCTTGAATTCGTCTTCCAGTGTTCGCCTCTTTCAAAATTTGTTTCCAACACAACGTTGAATTTGCAATTTTCACCTTAAAAATATATGCCCAGCTCGCCAGCGTAGTTGGTGAAACCTGACTTCGCGGCGACCAGGTGACGAACTCCTTCTGGTCCGGGTTCACGCCCATGGGTAGGCAGAAAAGCCATATTTCTCCCAGATTTACCGTATCTATCATGGAATCAAAGCCACAGGGTTGCGATATCCATAATACCGAGCCAAATGGTTAACAACTCATGGTTTCTGGATACCTAAATTCATGTTCAGTCTTTTAAAAGATTGTCTTAGTCGTTTTGGATTATTCTCGACACAGAGGTGGGATGTCTGGTGGGGATAGAATCTCCAGTTTCATTATCGACGAGACAGACGTTGGCGAGGTCAGTCAGGTGCTTGTCCGGTTCCAGAATCAGGGTAACAGTCTCTCCCGGAGAGTCCGGAGTCTGCTGGTGAAATCAGTGGAGGTGGATTTCGTCATGAAGTTTCCAAAGTCAGTTGTTTGTTCAAATGTTTTATCATTCTTTCTTTCTTTCTTTCTTTCTTTCTTTCTTTCTTTCTTTCTTTCTTTCTTTCTTTCTTTCTTTCTTTCTTTCTTTCTTTCTTTCTTTCTTTCTTTCTTTCTTTCTTTCTTTCTTTCTTTCTTTCTTTCTTTTCTTTTCTTTTCTTTCTTTCTTTCTTTCTTTCTTTCTTTCTTTTCTTTCTTTCTTTCTTTCTTTCTTTCTTTCTTTCTTTCTTTCTTTCTTTTTCTTTCTTTCTCTTTCTTTCTTTCTTTCTGTCTCTTCTGTCTGTCTGTCTGTCTGTCTGTCTGTCTGTCTGTCTGTCTTGTCTGTCTGTCTGTCTGTCTGTCTGTCTGTCTGTCTGTCTGTCTGTCTGTCTGTCTGTCTGTCTGTCTGTCTGTCTGTCTGTCTGTCTGTCTGTCTGTCTGTCTGTCTGTCTGTCTGTCTGTCTGTCTGTCTTTCTTTCTTTCTTTCTTTCTTTCTTTCTTTCTTTCTTTCTTTCTTTCTTTCTTTCTTTCTTTCTTTCTTTCTTTCTTTCCCCCCATCCCACCAAGTTCGATGTCATTAATCTAATTTCTCAGTCACTCTCTTACTGTGAAAATTGACTCTACACCAGTGGTCTCAAACCTTTGTCAGGTCGCCCCCCCCCCTTGAGTATATGGCAAGACCTCAACGCCCCCTTGAGTATATGGCAAGACCTCAACGCCCCCTTGAGTATATGGCAAGACCTCAACGCCCCCTTGAGTATATGGCAAGACCTCAACGCCCCCTTGAGTATATGGCAAGACCTCAACCAACCCTTGAGTATATGGCAAGACCTCAACGCCCCCTTGAGTATATGGCAAGACCTCAACGCCCCCTTGAGTATATGGCAAGACCTCAACCAACCCTTGAGTATATGGCAAGACCTCAACGCCCCCTTTAGTATATGGCAAGACCTCAACGCCCCCTTTAGTATATGGCAAGACCTCAACGCCCCCTTGAGTATATGGCAAGACATCAACCACCCCGTGAGTATATGGCAAGACCTTAATGCTCCCTAAGTATACGGCAAGACCCCCACGCCCCCCCCCCCTCTGGGTATATAGCAATACCCCCACGCTCCCCCCTCTGGGTATATAGCAAGACCCCCACGACCCTCTTGTGTATATAACAAGGGCCCCACACTCCCTTGAGTATATGACAACCTCTAGCCCCCTTCCCGAGTATATGGCTAAATCCCCACGCTACCTCCCCCCCCCCCCCCCCCCAACAAAATATGATTTAAAAAGAAGAACGATAGATACCCCAACAAGAAAAACAGACAGTATAACGATAAAAAAAAAAAAAAAATCAGAACGCGTCCTTAATCTTTAATTAAATGCCGGTGTTATCATATTAATAAGATTTTCAAACTGTAGATTTACAGTCTGCGTATGAAAAAAATTTTCCTTGGCTTTTTGTTTTATAAACAGTTTTAAGGAATATTTCCCAGGTTGAAAACCACTGCTCTACACCGTCTGTAGTAGTTGATAGTCGCTGCAGTCCTCCGCTGGCTTGAGAACCAGTTGTACACACTTCTGTAACAGTCTATATACGTGGATGTTAGTTCTAGTAACAGTTAGCTAGTTAGTTAATCGACAGATTATCCTTACTGCACATGGAACCGTTTAGTTCATAAGTACTCAAATCCCTTCCTTAGTAAATCCCGCAGCTTGTATCAGTTCACGACACCAGTTCTGTGTTGGTTTCCTATTCTTCTTTGGCTTCCTACATAGTGCTCTTGTCTGGCCACACCCCTTTTAAGATGCTGTTCTTACAGTCTGGTTTTTGTTGCAGATTCATGGTTATCACCTGGCTCTCGCCAAAGTCTTACTTCTCGTAGTGCATTGAGAATATCAGCATGGTCCCTTGCTCGTCCACCCTCCACAGTAACTTTACCTGCAAGTCGATCAGCTTGTTCATTTTCTTGCACGCCTGCGTGCCCTAACACAAATATGAAACTAATGTGTGTCATCCCGGACCACTTTAGAGACTCCAGCCACTGTCTTCGGATCCAGCCCATCTTGATCTTCCTGAACTTACTGGTTGAAAGTTCTAGTAAGGCATTGCTCAACCTTGCTACGAAGGTCTCTGTGGTTGTCTGCGCAGTCATTATTTCTTTGGGCTACATTATGAAGAGAAAGAAATTACAAATTCATGTGACAACAGGAAACATTTATGGAAAGAGAGAAAAAGGACGACTCTTGACAGTCTTTTGTCATGTAATGAGTGTCAGTACAAGAACTGTTACATACTCTTGGAGATCCTAGGATATGGACAATATCTTGAAAAGGTATCAAACCATACACAAAGCAGAAAAAGTCACCTACACAAAATCGCAAACGACAAGTGAACGTTGCGGCTAAAAAACCGCTCATCAGCACATTATATAAATCTACAGTACCACAGGTACGTACACGAAAACACACAAAATAGCTTATCTGACGTTTCTCCGACAGAAATCACATTTCAGTCTGGCCAGTAGAATGTCTGACATGTGTGTCACCATCCGAAAAAAATGCTGACAAGAAAAACAGGCATATTTGCCCATGTGAAAACTAAAGAGAAGAAGGATGATAAACTTGCATAATGTCGCCAAGAGATATTGTTCCCCCTCCCCCACCCCCCCCCCCCCACCCCAAAATACAATGTTTCTTGCTTGTTTTTCAGGAAACATTTCTGCCCCACAAATGGAGTTGTACAAGATGGTCGTGAAATTGTTTTGACCTCAGGAAGTTACTTCACCTCTGCATGTCCGTGAACTTTTACCTTTAGACTTCACGCATATGTTATGTTGTAATTATCTGCGCCAAGAAAAGTTAATTCTGAAAGTACATAGAAGTTTTCTTATCTCTTCATGTCCCACACCTTGTGTTGTATGTGTCTACAAAACAGCGTGCGGCATTTTAATATATTTTACTATTGGCTTGACTGTGCTTTAAAAATCTGGACAAATTCTTCCTACATTCTAAAATAGACTTGTGACTTTGGGGAAAGCGGAGGTGGGGGGGGGGGGGGGATGCTCTATGGTGAAACAGTCAAACCATTTGCCTGGCGCTCTGACAGTCTTTTGTTCGTTTCACTGACGCATTGTTTAGTTATTGAGTGCAGTTTTTACAGACCTCCCTGGGGATAGTCGCTAGAGCTGGGAGTTTGTGCATTGTGAGACGCTCTCAGCAGCAGCTAAGCGTTCTGCCAAGAGAGAGAGAGAGAGAGAGAGAGAGAGAGAGAGAGAGAGAGAGATGAACTAACCCGGCACAATGAAGGGATGAACACAAGAACCACACACACGCGCGCACACACACGAACTGACTACTTTAAGTTATTCAAATACCTAAAATAAAAAAAATAAAAAACACGACAGCTTGTCGTTATTCTACTGATAAAGGCTAATAGCTGCAACATCATCTGTTTGCTTTAAGTAGTGTTGCAAATTAAAACCTTCTATTAAAAAAATATATATATTTTCTCTTCTATTTCTTTTTAATATAAGAATACATTACAAAAGTCGGCTTCTGTTGCTTTGACGTTAACGACGCGCTTCGATCCGGGTTCGATCCCTGCTGCCGACGATTTGTCTAACGCTGGTTTCGACAGTTATACCGAGAGCTGACCGTTCAAAAAGCAATGGCAAACTACTGAAAGTAAAATTTGCCTAGAAAAATCACAACAGCCAATAAATGCTGGGTTTGGTTCTGCAACGTCCTGTAAAGGATACATTGTGTAGCTCTCTGATATACTTCTCATTCGGGTTTATATCTTTCCTGTAAAGGATACGCAACTAGCTTGTATTACTAAAACCCACAGCATATAGCTATTAAAAGGAACTTTACCAGCAAGTCGATCAGCTTGTTCATTTCCTTGCACGCGTGCTGACCTGGTACAAATATGAAACTTATATGTGTCAGCCCGGACCGCTTTAGAGACTCCACCAACTGTCTTCGAATCCAGCCAATCTTGATCTCCTTGAGCTTACTGGTTTAAAGTTTAATGCATTGCTCAACCTTGCTACGCGGGTCTCTGTGTTGAGATTCAAAGTATTGGTGATTTAATGAGTGAAAGTGGTCACACTGCATACAAGTATACCTTCTTTTGTATCTGGGTAATCCATAGTTTTTTTGGCATATGGCTCACCATTGGATGACTGTTTTTTTTTAAATGAACAGTAAAGCTTTACTGCAGTCATCTCATTTCGACGTTAACATTAACTGTTCTTTCTTTTACCGGTATCTTCATCTATTTCTGTTGTATGTCTATTTGTTTTATTTTTTAAAAATTAACATTGTTTGTTTGAATTTTTAAAGTTCTTCACTTCTAGTTTCGTATTCTGCCATTAAACTTATTTTTGTCTTTCTTTGTCGTGTCTCATACCAGTAAGTGTTGACAGTTACTGTTGGCCATCTCAGATGATTGCTAGATCAAGTCTGTGTTCTTGTCTAACAAACGCCATAACGATCACAGTCCCTAGCTTAAAAAGTTATCTCTTAGAAATCTTTATTTATTCATTTCATTTTATATTTTAAAAATGTTATTATATTTATGAGACATTCAGCAAATTGTTATTATTGTACACTTGAACTAGGCTCGTGGCACTGCTCCCCAGGGACCCCTCCAGAAGTTTAATTCGGTATGAAAAAAATGAATGAATCAATCAAGAATTGCCATCATTGCACTCGGGACATTCCCATACATGCTCAGTCTCCTTCTTCAACAGCCAACGAAGTCGACAAGCTAATAGTAACTAGTAAAAGTCTGCTCACGTTTCCAGAACTTCTACTCACCCCCCCCCCCCACCCACGTCCCATTTTTCACCCTCGTTAAATTAGTCTTTCCATGTATTGATACTCGTGATGTCCGTGGCTTAGGCGTTGCGAGTCCGAATCGTAATTCCAACGTACTGCAATCGAAACCCACTGCTGGTATCATGGTATGGGGCATCCCAGCCTAAAATGGGTACCAGAATGGCTGTCCTGGGGAAGTAAGGGCGACCGGCCTAATGCTGACCACATTTCCCACCAATTGCCGATGGTCTGTAAAAATATGGGCGCTCTTCGCATATGCTCGATGAGTGAAAAAGGATCTTTACTTACTTTTACTATGTATAGATTCTCTACCTGTTCTGTTGCCCTGTCCATTTTTTCCCAGAGAGCCCTCACTATGTCTGCTTGATCATAAAGTAGCTCACCGCCCAAAGGCGCGACAGCAGCCAGTCAACCTGCTCAAAGCTGCGAACACCCAACTCGGGAAATACAAGATAACACATACAATTGATAAGTTAACTTTAATATGACTGTTACCACACTAGTGCTACTGATACTACCGGAACACAAACAAATATTCAAATATTTATAGCAACTCAAAGTCATGTGACATGGCTTGTTGGCAATGATATGACAATGCATGTGCGTAAAAAAAAAAAAAAAGAACAATAGTCAAGGAATGGGTTATCTACAGAGCACTCCACACACATCCATAGGTGCTCAGTAAGTAAACAAGTAAAGGACCCTTTTCCACGTCTTAAGGCATATAGGGCATATAGGGTTAGACATATATTTTATAGACCAATCGGCACAAGATGGGTGATGTGGTTAGCATCACCCCGGCCGCCTTCACTTCCCAGGACTGCACCCGGTACCCACTCAAAGCTGGGTAGACCCGGGAGCCAAGGTCATTTTTGAAAAAAGTCCGGCTTAGCCAGGGAGCGAACACACAACCTTCCGATCTGCGGCGAGCCTCTAGCCGCTTCGCCACTGCGACTCCCATAGGTGCTCAGATTTCCCCTTAAACATAATCATCAGTGTCCTGTGGTTAACAGTGTCAGCCCTATGCTGGTTAATAAGAGTTTGTGTGTGTCTGGTGTGCTTCTCATGCTTAGCTGTGCCAATCTTTACTCCCAATTTTCATATTCTTAGCAGTAACGTGGACACATTGCTTCCAAAATCCTCGGAATGTCCTATCTAAGAGCATCAACAATGTCAGTGTGATAAAAGATCAGCCATCTGCAACTATTGCAAAACCTGCCACTCTATCAGCTCATTAGCTGAATTCTCAGTCATGACTGAACATGCAATCATTGCTGTGCTATGACTGAACATGCAACCATTGCTGTGCTATGACTGAACATGCAATCATTGCTGTGCTATGACTGAACATGCAATCATTGCTGTGCTATGACTGAACATGCAATCATTGCTGTGCTATGACTGAGCATGCATCATTGCTGTGCTATGACTGAACATGTAATCATTGCTGTGCTATGACTGAACATGCAATCATTGCTGTGCTATGACTGAACATGCAATCATTGCTGTGCTATGACTGAACATGTAATCATTGCTGTGCTATGACTGAACATGCAATCATTGCTGTGCTATGACGGAACATGCAATCATTGCTGTGCTATGACTGAACATGCAATCATTGCTGTGCTATGACTGAACATGCAATAATTAATGTGCTTTGACTGAACATGCAATCATTGCTGTGCTTTGACTAAGCAGGCAATCATTACTGTGCTATGACTGAACATGCAATCATTGCTATGCTATGACTGAACATGCAATCATTGCTGTGTTTTGACTGAACATGCAATCATTGCTGTGCTATGACTGAACATGCAATCATTGCTGTGCTTTGACTAAGCAGGCAATCATTGCTGTGCTATGACTGAACATGCAATCATTGCTGTGCTATGACTGAACATGCAATCATTGCTGTGCTTTGACTAAATATGCAATCATTGCTGTGCTATGCACAAAGTTAAGAAGTTATATCTGGGTTATCCTTGAGTCCTGAAGGGCAAGCACGCTGTGAGAAGTCAAATTACAGTTCTTTATACGAAAGTATTTGGGTGATTTGCATTGCATTACAGCTTTTATTAACGCTCAGGCCTCCTGATAAAAGCATTCTAACAGAAGGATTGAAGAAGAAAAAGAAAAAGCATACTAAAAAGAAGATGAGAAAGAATAAGAAAGAGGAGAAGAATAATGGGACTTAAAATGTAAACCTTAAAAGTGTCATAAAAATCACAATTTTCATGCCACTTTTTACAACCTGTCAAAGTTGTTGTTAAGGATGCCAAGAGTGTCAAGCACATGACATTTAGGTGCAGATAACCACTGTGATGATTTCATTTAAAATGCAACATAAATAAAGTAAATGGGATGAGCATCTTCTTTTTATACTCTGGCAGAAAGTTCTGGTTGTTCGTTCACTAGTCTTGTTTTTGAACTTGAGTTTTGCAAGCACATCTGTTTTACAGATCTGGCGATTTGTATGCAGACATTCCGCTCCCTGTATCTCAGGCAGACGACGCACTCTGATCCTGAAGGAAATCGCTAAAAAGTCCACACTTACAACATGCTTGTTAGGGAGGCAGTGGGTCTGTTCTTGTTCTCTCCCACAGTGATGGCCCAGGGAGGTACGAGTGTGAAGCAAATAACTGTCCTCAAACAGCGAGTAAACAGCGACTTATTAAATGTTTAGACTGACATTTCTTCTTCTTTGATCCTTCTGTCAGAAAACTTAAATCAGGAGTCTGGTAGCCTTTATGAAAGCTACTGTGCAGTCCATATCTTCCCGTGTACCATACCCCTTTTTTCCTAGATTTGTGATCATGTGTCGTAGCGGTAAGCGATAGGCTGTTATGTTTCACCATCTCACACGCTCACCAGATTCATGGATTGGTTCAATATTTTTGCCTCGCCCCAGCCATATGGCCAGACCATCAAAGTATATATCTCTTTGCCTTCCTCTTGCTCT